CAAGCTAAAGACATTGTGGCACAGCTCCGTAATGGAGATGGAAAAATGCTAACAGAGGACAAAGAAAAGGCAGTGGTGCTCAATTCCTATTTTAATTCAGTCTTTTCCCATAAGACAGACTATGAACTTCCAAACAAATCGGAAGTGCAAGTCGGGGGGACAGGACTGCAGCTGGAGATTGATAAACAAATAGTCAAGGAGTACCTTACCACCTTGAACAAGTTCAAATCTCCAGGGCTGGATAAACTGCATCCGAGAGTACTGAAGGAACTGGCTGAAGAACTCTACTATCCATTCTTTTTTTTTAAATCATGGGAAACGGGGGAGGTGCCAGAGGATTAGAAGGAGGGCCAGATGGAGGATACATTGCTCAGCAAAACTACAAATGAGAAGGATCGTCATAGATCACAAACTAAATACAAGTCAACAGTGTGATACGGCTCCAAAAAGGCAAATACTATTTTAGGCTGCATTAATAGAAGTATAGTTTCCAAATGCCGCAAGGTGCTGGTCCCCCATATTCAGCACTGGTTAGGCCTCACCTTGAGTATTGTGTCCAGTTTTGAACACACTTCAAGAAGGATGTCAACAAATTGGAACAAGTTCAGAGGAGGCCGGCAAGGATGATCAGGGGGCTGGAAACAAAGCCTTATGAGGAAAGGCTGAAAGAACTGGGCTTGTTTAGCCCTGAGAAAAGAAAGGGCTGAGGGGGTAATAGGATAGCACTTTTCAAATATTTGAAAGGCTGTCATACAGAGGACGGGCAGGAGCTGTACTCAAATTATCCCAGAGTGCAGGACATGCAACAATGGGCTCAAGTTATGGGAAGCCAGATTTAGGATAAATATCAGGAAGAATGTCCTAAATCTTAGAGCAGAGAGGAATGGAACCAATGACCTTGAGAGGTGGTGAGTGCTCCAACACTGGAGAAATTTAGACAACTACTGAGCAGATATCCTTTGATTTGTATTCCTGCACTGAACGGGGGGCGGGAGGGTTTGGACCTGAGGACATTGTAGGCCCCGTCCAACATCACTTTGCTATGATTCCATGTCAAAAGTATACAGTGGTGCCTCGCACAACGATTGCTTCATACAACGATGAATTCACACAGCGATGGGTTTCTTTGAGGAATTTCCGCCATCGTTTAACGATGTTCTCTGTGGGGGAATTTCACTTAATGATGTCCCTTTTTTGCTCCTGTAAAAGTGTCTTAAACTGTTAGAAACCTGTTTTAAATGCTTGGAAGCGTTAGCCCACCTCCTGAACCCTATGCAATCTTAATTTGGTGTTGTTCTGAGTCGTCGTTAATTTTTGGTGATTTTTTGTTTT